TGGCAATTTAAAATGTATAGCTAATTATTAGTATTAAATCATGAATACTTGGTCCGGAATGATTAAAATAAAGCCAAACAAATTTGATTTTTAGTTCTTCGGGATCTCCATGATTTTGTCTGTGAATTTCAACGCTTACAAATTTGAAGCTACGAACTTTTTAAAAAAAAAGAAATTAGTTTAATTTGTTTTTATTTGGAAAAATTAAGCAAAATTTAAATAGCCGGAAGAATGCAATTTAGATAATAATTGGTTTGTTTCAATTTTTTTTGTGGTTGTCTGACTTGTTAGTTGTTGAGTGGTGCGGTCCTCCTGCACTTACAGATAGATATACAATAGCTGGTAGTTTGCGATCTGTAGAATGAAAATTGATGAAGATGTATAATCAATGAACTTTATTACACGCGTAATGAGACCTGATACAGAAATATGGTTATTCAGCATTATTACCTTCCTAATGAAACCTAATACATCTTTGACATTTAATATCGGGCCATTATAAATAATTTGGTATATATAATTTATACTGTTATCTGGTTTACACAATTTGATGCCATATAATCGATATTCCTAGATAAAAAAGCATCCCAATACCGACTTCGATGTTTGTTTTGAAGTTCTGATATTGCATCCAGGAATATTTAAATAACACTTTAGTTTTATCGGTTTTTAGAAATAGATTACATGTCTGATCAGATCGGTGATCATTGCTTTTAGATACTTGATATTCCTTAGTTCTGATCTATCGCCTGGTTTAGGTTTTAAACCAATTCAGTAAACTTTCCATTGATCTGATCAATTTAGTTTGAAATGGGTTTTTTCAGTTTTTAATGTATACTTTAAAGCCTAAGTTTGTTTGTTTTTTCAGTTTTCAATGTATACTTTCAAGCCTAAATTTTTAATGTACTTACTTAAAGGCATGGCGTAAAGCTGGTTTAATTTGTTTATGGACCATCTTCGTTTGTAATCCACGCGTTTAGCAAGAAACTAGAAATTAAGGGAAATATTTCCAATTTAAAACAGTTCCCATGCATAACATGAATTATAAATTAGTTTTTAATCTATGCTTTTATCATAGAAACTTGTTTGGAATTCTGAAATTAAAACGTCAGAAAAAAAAACGTTTTCGTGTTATAAAACCGGCCCTTGCATTAGTTATTATTATTTCGTCTCAGTTCAGCTGTTTGAGTTTACGTCTCTGTTATCGGGGTTGGCACTTTGAACAATTGGTCAGGAAGTGTGAAAAATAGGACATAACTGCCCACAACTTGGCCAAGTAAATAGTTGGCGGATTTACATACTTGCGGGCCCTAGGCCAAACTCATCAGTTGGTCCCAAAACTTATAGAGGTCTTATGGAATACCCTCTGTGCACATGAAGCACGATTATACGCTGGTACTTTCCGTGACAAATTAAATTTGGTGGGACCTAGGTCAATGGCCTACTACGCTCATTGATAAATCCGACCCTGACATTCTCATTAATAATATAACCCATCCCCATGACAATTGCTTGCTGAGTTTACGATTGAAGTCATACCAACTACAATACCTAGGTCAATGGCCTACTACGCTCATTGATAAATCCGACCCTGACATTCTGATTAATAATATAACCCACCCCCCATGACAATTGCTTGCTGAGTTTACGATTGAAGTCATACCAACTACAATACGGGGTTCACTCCCATTTCGACTATTTCGGCAATCTCCGACGCACTAACTCAATAATACATTTCGTTTTAAAGGAGCTAAGTCTCTTTTTTTTTGCACCTGGAAATGGACACAAATGAGTCGCAACCCATATAATAACGTAATATGAATGTTTATAAACTGATTTATATTCAATTGTTTCTGTTTTTACTGTAATTTCTAATCTGTTATGTTCGGCGAAATATGCGAAAAGGCAAATTGAATGGCAGTCTGGTGATTCCAGTCTACACCGGTAGTATTCTTAGCCGTGTTCATCGAGTAGCTTCGTTACAAATGGCACTTAAAAGCATTCTGACACGCGATTCGTGTGCCAATATTAAAATTTTCATTATGTCTTAAATATTGGATATCAGAAGCCATTCTTTTCACGGTGAGATAGCAACATCAATGTTTATTTAAATTGACCAATAAGTCGTGTTTGCAATGTCAAAAACTGCTGATGATATTGAGTTAAAGACTTGTCTCCTTTAAACTATCAGAAATCACTATGCCCCGTGAAACAACATTTTGTAATATATCGATTTAGAAAGTCATGCGTTTCTCAATTTACTGAACCAAAACTGAACGACCTCTTAAAAAGATCTAATTAGTATATTAATCATTGGGTAATCGGAGTTTTGTATTTAACAGACGGCAATCTATAAATATAGTCTATATAAACCTCACAGACACAGATATACAATATTTATGAGAACTATTTTAGAACGAATTAAAATATGTTGTAAGTATTTCATATTTATTGTCAACTCACGTCATTTAACAGTTAAAGTGTGTAGAATCGTTTTGAAACGGGCTTTATAAGTACTGATTTACAAACGGGAATGCGCTGTGGACTATTTAAAGATGGGGTGGCAAACGGATGGATGCTTAACATCTCTGAAATGAAGACAATGTTCCAATTCCTAGTACACTATTATTACAAGTATCACACGCATACACAAGGTTATGGTTATATATTTTGATCAACAGTTATCAACGTACTCTCAATAACAATATTGATTTAGCTCTTACAGTGTATTTTATTAATAAATCCTGAAGGTCTCTGTGGCTAATTAATGGCGTCCTTTCTCTACACGTGTCATTTGTGGTTATATTAATAGGAATCAGATATGGACGTACAGGAAATAAAGTTACGGAAGCATGAGTAATAAAACTTGAAGATATTAATCTCCGGGAGAGATATTAATGTGTTGGATTTAAAGGGCATAAAGCTCTTACATGATCCACGGCCTTAGGCATTATACAAACACAAATTATTGACCCATTCCAATGAAGGGTGGTGTTGTTATCCATATGAAAATAGGGGTTCCTAGTATGCAATAATTAAGACACGGTGAACAATTTCAAACCAGTCGGTATGGTAGGGCACTCTATGCTATTGAGCGCCATTTGTAATGTGCGCCTTGGTAAAAAAGGAAACACGTCAGTACTCCAGGTGCAAACTGAACTAACAAGGCGTGAGTGACTGTCATTCGACAACTCGGTCATTCAAAGAAATGAAATGAAATGAAATGGGGTTTAACGTCACACTGATCTACTTCGACTGGGCATACGCCATGCAATGTGCTATGGGGAAAATTTTGCCCGGACAGCGGCGCTACGGCCTACTCTTATATCGAATTTCAACTGCCAAGGGATCTTTTACGTGCACTCCAACGTGTACACAGAATCCCGGTTTTTTGTCCCATGACTAGACAACTTTCTTGTAAGGCCCTCCGTCCTGTACCACTGACAAGGGAAAACAACGCCAGAAAATCCCGATGAACTTTCTCGGCCAACACCGGGAACGAACCTGCGACGTCCAGACTAGCGAGTCAGCTTCCTACTCACTTACCCACCGTGGCTCCGGCCATTCAAATATCTTTTGGATACTTTGTATGTCTCAACGTTATGTCTATACTGATTCACGCATATTAACTCTGTCTATGCTAATAAATACATACATTAAGAGTAATTAAAATACAGATGTGACGTCACCCTTTGATGTTTGAGTACCATTATTTCAAATAATCGTACGGGCAATGTGCCAAGCGTAACTTGGTAAAATATTGAACTCGAGTGACGTATTTCATTGCAAAGCACATGCAAGTGTCTGTATTTTAAGTTGTTTAATGGTCTCGAGCTTAAGACATTGCGTAATATATTGTAAAAACATTCGGGCCTCACGGCCCTCGTGTTGTTACAATATATTACTTAATGTCTCGCTCTCGACCATTAAACAATACATATTCACCTGAATGGGTAGGATTCAAATAATCGTTTATGGTCAATGTAACCAGGCTACGTCTTTTCGGGACTTAGACAAATGATTTGGTTATGTCCATATATATATATATATATATATATATATATATGCAGCGCATTCCTTTAAACATCTTTCCTTGCTGCCCAACTGTAATGTTATTGTCATTTAATCTGTTTTTCTGACATTTATTTTAGTTAATATATAGTAATTTCATATCTCAAAGTTCAAATTATCCGACTTCGGAAGTACGGATTAATATTTAAAAAAACACATCTCTAGTGGGATTTAATGAAAACAGTCTACATCTGACTGGATATTTAAAGTAAAGATACATCTATTCTAAAAAAAAGGTTTGTTTTTGATAGACTGGATACATTGACTTGGTAAATACGGTTAAAATAAACAGGAGGGATTCGTGATATACGAAACCATTTCTGAATTATTACCTCGTGCAGCAATATATCATGCATAACAGATTCTATGATCTGAATTTTCCGATTGTCTGTAGAGGTCATATTGCCCACACAATTATATCTTCAAAACTGAGCTATTTTCTTTCAACATTTCCGAAATCGAAAAACGTTCAACATTTCTTAAATCAAAATACCGCATATATTTGACAAGAAAAGCTAGATTTAATTTCGCGGTGGAAAATTATTACAATTTTACATGTAGAATGAATTTGAGGAATCTCGATATCAACTAAATGGGTGGAGTTATGTACACTTTTAATATAGGTAAAAAACACGAGGTCCATCCAATGAAATTTTACAATTGGAATTCGACGGAGTATATTGAAACGACTGTTTAGCTAAATAATAAACTCGAAACAAACATGTTTGGTTATTATTTAGCTAAACGGTTGCTGAAGAGCGCCAGTACCATGTGACATTCAAAATGACGACTCCCATCGAAGTTACCGAATTCGAGAATATTGTTACCGGTATTGATATTTGGGCCAAGAGTAAAAGCACTAGGGTAATTTTCTTAATTTTAAGAGTTCATATAGCTAACAAATTCTTGTTGTAATTGCGTCTACTTACTGGCTATCTGTTTCGCTTCACTTGAATAGCCCCCGTTGCTTTCATCAAAATCTGTCACAAACGTAAAACATTCACGATTGGAGATCAAACTACTTCTTGGGATAATATCCCTTTCTTCATCTGAAATTTGAAAGTAACAATATTCTTTATTTGTATTATCCTAATTAAAATCGACAATATTCATTACACTTACAGTATATCCTGGAGAAAGGAATTGAACTCAGGACCGTAGCTAGCGGGCGGGGGGGGGGGGGCAAGGGGTTGCCCTTTCTATCCGACGCAATACGAAGCCAACGACGAACGTGCCCATATCAGTATGGGCGCCCCATAAAGCCGAGTGACATTGGTTGGGCGCTTTTTAATGAATAACACGATTAACACTACAACTTGATTGATGGGATGCCCAAAACGGCGTGATCTGTAGGGTGTCTTACCCCGGAGGGGCGCCCATCATGACATGATTGGTAGGGCGCCTTATAATGACAATATATGATTGTCGGGACGCACATAATGCATAATGCCGACCGAGATTGGTTGGGCGTCCACGACTTATTGGTATCAAGAGTGTTCATCTGGTATTGATAGTTTTGGCTTGGGTGTCACCCCGTGTGTTTTTGTAGTATGTCGAGCTTGGATTTGTTGGTGTCACGTGTGTTTATCAGGTATTTCTATTTTTGTGTTGTTGATGACACGCGTGTTTTGTGAAAGCAGTACGTGAGGGTAGTTCAAGTATTGATTTAAGGTTGAAATGACATATCAATAAATTCACCCCTTCTTCGCGTGACATAAAGATATATTTCTTATCAGTATAGTGCCGCATTATCAATCCACTATGATCTTACTAGACTCAATGACACTTGATTATAAAAAATTTACATGACGGTATTCGCATTGGTTTGCTCTTAAAGAGATGTTTTCTGGTCGTCTTTGTCTCAATGATTGTTGGCATTTCTTGAAGTTCAGACACAGGTATCCTGTAGTTGTTGATTTTTTTTAAAAAAAAGGCTGTCGTATAGCATTGTACTTCACATTGTAAGCAAGACAGTGAACAAGCGTTTTGTAATTATTTTTCCTGAAGTTCCTGACCTGTATGTTTTCAAATATTAAGTGCAGTAGAACCACACCAATAAGATAAACCCGCGGACAAGAGAAACTACACAGACATTGCAGCAATAAACAACAAATATCAAATCAAGTGAAGGGATCCATGGGCCAGCATCCACTTCGCTGTGCAGTCCTGGATCTGTAATGAAACAGGCTTCACTCAAAATAAAAATAAAAACCCAATGATTTACAAGAGAGACAATTTATTTCATTAATTTATTGTAGAATAGAACTTATATCAATCTCATATTTTTAATAATCTAAAACACGTTGTCATGTTCTAGTGATGAAGTCCATCGATACATTATCATTTGCGAAATTGGAATTCTGTGCTAGCTCCGACTGTACCGAGTAGCCCAAATAACACTCTTAGAAATTATAGAAAATGGAATGGAAATGAAAAAGAAATGGAATGAAAATAGACTATAATTTGATAGTTTTCTATACCAACCAGGCTAATCACGAAGGTATACGCGCCACGCAGTTTGCTATGAGGGAAACTTTGCCCGACCAGTCTACACGCAAACGTATACACTGAACCTCTGTGTTTCGTCCCTTCCGAACCACTTCCTTGCCAGGCCCTCTGTCTTGCATTGCAGACAAGGGGGACCTCACTAAAACATCACGAGCAACTGTCTCGGCCAACACCTAGATCGCAGCCACGGAGATAAAAGCTGATAGAACTGTCTAAAAATGGTGTTTGTAGTGTTCTCATCTTTATTTCGACCTTTTTGGTCAGGCCCAGTGTTTGGTCGTCGAGATAACTTTAATATTTAAGCTTCAGAGCATATCAAAGATTACCAAAATAAGTGATGTCCCGTCACTTCCGGGAACATATCTTTGGATAATACGATGGCTTAATGAGTAAACGCCATTTCCTTGCCAGGAACCAGCCCTGCGCCACTGACAAGGAGAAACCGGCTTTGCCAGCACCGGAATCGAACCCAGCAACTCCTGGTTAGAGAGTCATATTCACCGAGCAATCGTGGCTGCGATACTAATACAGCGATTTGCTATCTTCTTTTTATTGACTTTTAATTTGTTTATCTGAGAGGATCAATGGTATGATATTTTATTTATATGTTTTAGTAGAGGAATTTATTACCAAGCGATCTTTCGAAAGATTTCTTGTAGCACACGAGAGATTCCAAGTATAGCCTGGTAGTCGAATCTGATATGTCACCAGAGCTGCCAATGACCTCCAAGAGATGTGGGGCCTCTAGAGTTTAAGATTAAACTATTTCATCTGCGAATGCTTAATCAAGATATTCTAAATGATCTATTTAAAACGGTTTGCAGTAACCACACTACGACAAAAAGAAACAGCGTAGGCCTACTGTATTCCAGGGGCGCCCTGTCGCTAAAAATGTCATAGATTCTGAACAGGTGTCTACAAAGACTTAATCCGACTCTGTCCAATAGAAATTTCTTCATTAAAAATGTCTCTACTTGCTTGATATTGTAGCCTAGTGTCCGGACGATATAATAATGGCATCATCATCTGTATTTTGTAATAAGCCAATAACAACATCTGAAACGTATCGTTGTGTCAGACGACTGCTAATTAATTAGTTCCCGTAGTTGATGACAGTGAATGTTATTGATATATTGACACGCCGCAGCATTCTCTAGCCATTTCGCCAGTTTATGTTGTGGATGTTATAAATGAGTATGGGTCAAACAGCTTTACAATGATTAAAAATTCGATATATTTCAAATGCGAATTACTTGAAAGGCAAGAATATATTCAGTCCAATTATTATGTAGAATACATATCCTATTACCGCATATGGGATTATTAATTATACAGAGCGAATACCAAACCCAGATTTATATAACTTCATAATGTTCGAGTTTTCTCGATTTTTAAAATTTAATTTGTTGGATTTTGAAGATCATCTGTTGCAATTTGTAAGTAATGATCATCTGTTGCAATTTGTAAGTAATGATATTCAGACTATAATGCATTCAGACTATAAGCTTACATTTTCACAGTTTCTCGCGTAAAAAGGGACAAGATTTGATGAATTAAGTAGATATCTAAGCGATCGCTTGAATTATTATCTAGTATTAATTAAAGATACATTAGTTAAGAGTTTTATAAAGAGTTGGCCATTCTTGCTATATAATAATTCAAAAATAGATGATAAAAAAATGTTGAAAATTTTCGACAAATTACTTTGTTCTGAACGGAATTGTCACTGTTGGAAATTTGAACTGGAAATGGGCATCAATTTTGTCTGCACCGTCTACGAGAATTGGCGATCGTTTGATTGACAGACGATAACTCCACCCACATATTCTCGATTATCATGTAGCATGCTCAATGGCTATGGTAGCCTCGCTTGGCAGGCCTTTCACCACCAGTTTCCGGTAGTGACATCAGCGACTAACGGTAAACGTTAGCTTTGTCCGCCATTTATTGATTTAATTTTAAATGGATGACTGTTTAAATCCAAACTACATCGAAGCCATCCGTGGGTCTACAGAGTTGATTTTCAGCTTGTGTAAATAAAGGTCTAATTAATAATTTCTATTACATCTGAAGCCTAAATAGGCAGATTTAGCTCTTGCATAATGTATGTTTAAAGTACGAAAAAGAACACGATTAAAAATTAAGAGGTAGATTGTGGCGCTATGCGTATAACTGTTTATAATTAATACTAACTTTTCTGCGTTCTCTGAAAACACTAATAAAGTCGAAGTAAGATTGTTATAAGCCGTGCCTACAACATGTGGTCTGTATTATCTTGTTACAGTGTATTACAGCAAGACGCATAGGATTATTGCATGTGTGTTAATTAAAGACTAAACGGGTTGGGAATGATTAAAACAATTTTACGTGACAGCGAATAAACAAAAGAAGAACCACAAGAACAAGTTAATGAATAAAAAATATAAAATGAGCTAGGACAGCAATTCCTCTTTTAAGATATATGGGGGGATGGGTGCTAGATCACAAGGTCTGTCATTGAGTCAAGTGGCGTGGTTTTGTTTCGATTCCTCGCTTGTACGTGACAAGGAGTAAGGTCGCTTGTGCAGCCTCGTGGGTTTTCTCCGGGTCCTCCCGTTCCCGCCACTGTAGTTATATGGTCTTTAAGACCATATTATACCTTTTAGTAATTATTAGATTCAAACATTGTAGAGAAGTCATATATCACGTACTCAAATTAAAATGATTGAGTGATTGACACATAAAAGTATTTATAAAACCAAAACATGTTTATCACTTGTGTTGGAAAATTCATATTGCATCATTTGACTTAGTAATCAATCATCGTAATTAATTGCGAATTATTTTTGTATTTAAATAATTGACAGAGCTGCCTCAAGGATGCTGTCAATATTATAAGACTGATTTAGGTCCTATACATTTTAGACATCATGAAGATTTCTTAGTGAGAGACAGCTGCTAAATTCAGGAGAAACCGCCGAGGTTCAAGAGACACCAGCTGGGATGAGTAGCCCCATTGATTTGTAGGAGCGATATGATGTAGCCGCCGGTAAACTCCTCTGCGAGTTTGGGGTAAGAGAGAAAGACAAGTTAATTGTATGTGTTGTATTGTAAATTTTGTATTGTAACCATGTGTATCTAGCTGATATAAAATGTAGAACCGAACTGATGCATTGTTATTCCTGGTAAGACAAACGTCTCATCTACTGAGACAGTAAGAAGAAAATACACAACGTGTAAAATGAATCCAAAGAAGAGAATTACAATACTAGACGATCACAAGGCTATCAAAATATGTAGCGGAAGAGAGTATGGGTCACACGTTGGATGTGGGGAGTTTTTAACTTATGGGCTTTCCACATCTGACAAGCGACTCATCGCAACCATAGCACTACACTATGTTAGTCCTTAAATGACCTAGCCTGTGACGAGTGGACGCTAAACTCCATTTCCCTCGCCCCCCCCCACCCTTTAAGATATGTCACTGTATTTAAGAAACTTACTTGTTAATGTATTACATATTCTCCACAGTCCAGTAAACTCAATATACAGATAATAGTATTTACTTGTGTTAAGACCGGAAGTCGATGAATCCTCCACTTGTAAAAAGAAATTGTCAGCTGAAATATTTTTCATGAAGAGATGATTTTCCGTCCTGTTTATTTCTGCTAATTTATCTTCCTTATATTCGTATTTCTGCCAGGAATTTACGGAAATGGCCAGCACAACAAAAACTGACGCTAAAACTCCAAGGATACCAGCATTGATAAACAAGATAATTAACGGCGACGCCATTGTCAATGTATTTATAGTTTGTTTAAGCTCTTGTAACCAGTATAGGTCATCTATTTTATATACTAATCCCACGCCAATTTTATGAAACACATTTCTATAGGGTTTTTCTTATATAAATCGTATAGCTGTCTGTATTATTCCCATTGCCACTCATAGACGACGAATATATGTTTTACTTCGACTCAATGACTTCAGCAAATAATATTAAACCAGAAAACAATCTGGCATTAAAGTGTCTATTATTTGTATTAGGCTTTTACAGACGTTAGTTATTAATGACGTTTAAATCCGGACGATTTATATTGTACACACTATCTAAATACAGATTAAACAGTGTGACGTACCAACTTACAACGTTAATCCAAATCATTAATTTGTCTCGTAAACATCCCAGTCATAATTCAATTAATGGTTAGCACATACATCCGTGATCATTTAACCGCGATACTGTATTCCAGAATCTGTGTTTTACACGCATTCATGTGAGCCATGAATCCCGGTCTCTGTACAACAATCACTACCGCCTTCAATTAGTAACTCTATTCGGAAAGAACAGAATACTATATTATATTGGAAACAATTTCCTGGCTATTTACAGTTCTCCTCTCACTGTTGCAAATAACACCCTTCCATTAGAAACCAAGGTATACAATCCGCGTGATATAACACTACTTCCGCTAATAAATATCATGTAGATGACTATGGGTTATGAAACAGTAGTATTATTCACATGGTCGAGTCTCGATACTAAATGTTTAATGTCTGCCGCATCATAATATTTCCCGTGAGAGTTTATTTGTCTTTATTGGTGTTCACAATCTGAGAAGATTCCAATACATATCAGTTTCATTTACCATCAAACTATAAGCAGACAGACGGTCCGTGATTAAAACAAAGAACACTGTTTCATCTAACCAGAAACAAATAGAAATTGATAATGCAATTTAATATAGCGTAAAAATCGAGCTCTGTTAGCGATATCATGCAAGAACCAGCCACCGTAGAATTCGCAGAAAGTATACAATTGTCCATCATAGCAAATTAACACAGTCTATAGGTACAGAACTAATAAAGCTCAACGAATCAAGTGCATAAGTTCTATTAGCAAGCCTACCAGCGAAACAGCCCAATGTATAATGAGATATTTTAAAGGACAATTTCACGTAACGTTGTGGGCGAAACCTTTTTCAACAAATTAGTAAGCATCTCAAAACTGTCAAATAGCACAAAATTTCTGAGAAGTATTAACAAAATTAAGACAACTTCCTTTGTAGCAGTTTAATAGAGACACAAAGCAGTCCTTGGATGACTGAGTTCATGTGCTCTGTAAATGCATTATTGGACTACGTATTATAACATGTACCTAAAGCGGCAACCAATATATTAACTGTCTCATATAGCAATTACTCAGTGTGGAAAAAGATGAATAACACTTTCAGCCTTTCTTACTGATTACGTTACATAGTTTTCAAATTATATCAAAAGAATTGATCGAATTGATAGTTTGTCTCTATTACTTGACAGTGTGGAGGCGTTGTTAACTTCTTTTGCCATCTCAAGAAGAATATTGTTAAAAGGATCTTCTTAATGTAATTTTGTTTCATCACATCCGTCAATGCTTCTTTGTTTGTGTCATGGTGAATGTTACATTCAACTTCTGAAAAATAAATATATGGAATGAAATACAGAGTAAATTGTCAACAAAACATAAAATAAACTTTGTAGCCATACGACCCAGACAAAATCAAATGGGGTTTAATGTCCCACTGATCTGCACCGACTGAGCTAATGAAGACGGACATACGCCACGCAGTGTACCACCATGAGGAAATGTTGCCCGGACAGCGGCGTTTCGGATACTCACATTTCGAATAGCAACTGTCAAGCGTTATTTTTCATGCACGCCAATGTGTTCAGGCGAAATCGGGTTTCCGTCCCATTCGAGCGACTAGACGCTGCTCCATGCCAAGCCCCCGTCATGTACCACTATATAGGGGAAACCGTGCCGAAAAATCCCGAGGAACTTTCTTGGCCAACACCAGGAACAAACACGATACCCCTTGGTTAGCGAGCCAGCGTCTTACTTACCCAAACAAACCCAGGCGCGGATTTGAAAAACAACACGAAAAATATGCATGTAGGCCTATGTTTAAAAAAACCCAATAACCCCAAAACATTTCATATTGATTTATTTAAGACAAAACTAATAATATTATGTAGTGGAATGGAAAGTTTCATCCTGATTTATGAAGTGTCCATGCGACTCTAGGTTAATTCAGGGCCATATGATAATTTTATTTTATTATTATTTAGTACCCGGAGAAACCCCATAGTTGTCATATTATAAGATATTATTCTCTGACGTTCTCCCCAATGTAATAAAGTGTCTGATTTGTAATTACTAGAAGTAGAAACTAGATATCACATAATCTGATACAAAAGAAATTCTATCACAGCTTCGGACATTAATTAATTATTGATTATCATTAATCTAGAACTGGTGTCGTTAACCGCTTCACAATGGCCTAAAAAAAAGTAAATTGGAAAATATGAACAAACGAAGAAGAAATGACGAATTTAAAGAGTAGACTAAATGCAGGTTGGGGTGGGGGTGGCGCACTACACAAACAAACCCGAAAAGAGATACCCGCGGACATGACACAAACTACACAAACATTGGAAGCAATAAACAACAATTATCAAATTATACGAATGGATCCGGCAGTAAGGCTCCATTGCGCTGTACAGTCCCGAGCCTGTAATGATACAGACTCAAAATGAAAAAAAAGAAAGACGCAACCGTGCGATCGTTCTTGACAGTGGTCGTCTCCTGTGTGGCTTATCTAAATGGCGGTAGTCTGTCAGTTGACATCATAAGTTAGAACGTTAAAAATCAACAATAATAAGGGTGATAATCCGGATAAAATTTAGAAAAGGCTACAAATTATTAAATAAAATCTTACTGTGAACATTATCTTATTCAAAATCCAATATATATATAACACACTAACCATTTATAAAGCAAAAATCCACGAAACTTGCTCAAGGCGCATAAACACGACCGTCTATAGGTAGGTTATTACATCAGATTTACATTTTATTGAGTGTTGGACGTCTAAGGAGAGTTTATTCAACTATGGGTTTAACGTACTGTTCTGTACCAGAGGTACTAATGAAGACGGGTCGTTGTGATAAGTAGGACGTTAAACCTTTTTTTCTGATTGATTGGCCGTAACTGCCCACAAATCCCATCCACTAATAACAAATTGTCCAATCCACATAAAACACTGCTGTCTAATTGAAAGAGAATTTAATTTAACCACACAGAAGTGACGTTGGGTTTCAAGAGATCGCACTCCCACTGGTTTTACTACATTCTAAGACTTATATTATTTAACTTGAAGTGAAAGCCTCCTCGAAGAAAACGTCAGAAATCTCTTTAAGGCAAAAACTATTGAGATCAATAAAGAAATGAAAGAGTTGCATGAAGACGTTCTTAATTATCAGTAGATCAATTTAAAAATAATAGATGAACCACACCAAAATGTTAATTGGAGTAGAATATTTTATCTTATGTATTGAACTTTTATTTAATAGTGGATAGAGACATTTATGTTACATTAAGCGGTTTTTTTTGTATCTTTATATAAATCAAGAACCCGTATTAGTTTTAAATATCTAGGTCAATTCGTTTGGCTTATGGGGCAGTAGGTATGCTACTAGTTACTATTCTATCTAAGGACTTGAATTTGAAAACCCTTTTAAATCGCATTTAGTAATATATGACAATACAATAGAAGTTAACGTCCGCTACAACCTGGACGATATTCCAAACTAGAAGCTTGACAATCGATGGTACCATCTTGAAGTGCTGTTTATTCAGAGACATGTCGATATAAATAAATAAAATAAATATCATTAACTAATGGGTAAATACTGATCAATTGACGAGATAAAGCGTTTTATTAAGAGCAGCTCTTTTGATATTTTACATAATAGACTAAACTGAACATTAACAAACACATATTTATTAACTTAATTGAATTCTGTTTGTTTCCGGAGCGCACAGAGTTGTTTTTATTTTCGAAAATAACATACCAGTTAAGATCAATTTTCGTTGATAAACACAACCCAAACAAACAAATGAATCCAAAATGAAGTGCATTCTTCTGACAGCCCCTTATAATGGTGGTAATTGATATTCGCAATGCTCAATGAATTTTTCTGGCAGCTTTTTGTCTTGGTGGCGTTTGATATTCGCAAGGCTCAATGGAGTCTTCTTGCAGCTCCCTATCTTAGTGGAGATTGATATCCGCAAGGCTCAATCGGAACGTTGATTGACTAGACGGTAATTCCATGACAGCCCTGACATATGAGAACTTTCAGCAAGAAATTTTTAATTAATTTTTTTTGTATGTTCACAATGAGGATAAACGCATTCTATTACTGATTTGCACGAACGTTGTTGGGATTTCGTGAAAACCTCTATAGACTATATTTATGCGAGGCAATGTTTCCAGAATGCTTATTAGCTGTACCTTTTCTTCCTAAGCTGATTGGTATGTGCATATTGTTTGTGCACTTTCTTCTTATACCTTATTTCTTAGAATAGGTTTCAGGGAGAAAAGATACAAAAAATATTATGTAAGGAATTGGTAGGACGAAAATAGGTAATCAGTCCGGAAATGTACATGGGTACAAATTATTTCTAACGGGTTTCAGAAGTTAGTCATCTAGTACCCAGATAAATATCTTAAGTTTAAGATTTATTATTGTAGATTTATCTGACATGTGACATACTAAACGATGTAATTGTGTATAGTTTTATCAATGGCAATCGAAAAAGATCCGACCAAACAAGACCCCCAAAGTTCTAATGCTCCTATGAGTGGGGATTAGGGTGAGTGACCCACTGCTAAAGACCCCTACTCGCAAGAGAAGTATTGAAATTAAATTGAACCGTGTGTTAGTCCCGAAATGACCTAGTTTGTGTTTGTTTCTAGTGGACGTTAAGCCCCCCCCCTCCCCCTTTAAAAGGATGTCTCGTGTTCGATCCCAGTGTTGACCGAGGAAGTTCATCGGATTTTCCAACCCCGTACTCCCTTGTCAATGATGCAGGATGGGGGGTCTGGCAGGGCTACACATATCATTGTTAGTGTTGAACGAAACAAACGAAGTAAC